GACGATAAAATGAAATTATTCAATAAATACATGAAATAGGAAGGCGCCTGATTATTCATTATTTTAAACATCATAATAGCTTTTTGAAAAACAACCGTCTGTGAAAAGGTCATCCAGCGGAGTTCAGAAAAAAGTTCAGCAGATGGAGTGTCATAATCTTTGTCTAGAATTAGTCTTGCAGCTCTCTTTTGGAACTTAATGAGTTTATCCTCTAGAAAGGACGTACAGTTACCGTAAATTATGCAACAATAATCAAGATGTGGTAAAATATATGCATTGTAAAACATTTTACGTACAGGTATAGATATGAATAATTTTATACGTGATAATAAATGTAACAATGAGTTACACTTTTTAAGAACATTATCAATATGGCTTTGCCCAGACAAGGTGTTATTAATTGTAATACTCAATAATTTTTCTTCAGAGCTACAAAAAATTTGCTCCGTTTTATATAAAATACAAGGATTACTTTCATGAATATAATTTTGCTTGTGTTTTGAGGAAATATACATGACCTTTGTTTTGTTAGCATTGATAGACATGCGATTCAAATCACACCATTTGTTGGCATTTAAAAGATCATGAGTAAGAGATTCAACTACTCATAATAACATTGATCTCATCAAAAGTTTTTATTTATTATATGTAACAGTAGTTTAAATGAATTTCTATGCTTCTCGACTCTCTTAAAAATGCTTAAAAAGATTTTGTAAAAAGTGTGTAAAAAGTTAAAAGGTTTATACTATGATTTTTTTCATGTTTCACAGTTTGAAATTTAAACACTGAATGTTTAATTATATATACTTACAATGGATTTAAATATGCCCATTCTATATGACATAAAACAAAACTATATAACAGAAGAAAATTTATATAGTGTTGAGTTGGACAATCGTACAATATTACATTGAAATAACACGGTGCATGACCAAATTTAACGAAATATGCGCCCACATACTGGTGAACCTGATCTTTTTGACATGATATATATGTGTGCCAGTACAATTTGGAAACAGTAAATTATGTCTGTATTATTGACGTGGAGAAGAACATATGCAAATTACATGTATACAAATGTATAAGGTGTATGAATATGAAGCTGCAGAAAGGATAGAAGTTTGATACGTGAGAGTACATGTTTTTGGTGCGTGTATTTAACATTGTGTGGTTGAACCTGTAACGGGACGGTGATGATGTAAGACACCCTAGCACCGGTCAGAGAACGACTCAACGTATAACAAAAAGCAATAATAATTAACGAGCATCCGTAGATATATTGACACGGATATCATTGTTTAAACTCATTATATATATTTATTATATACCTATATATTTTCTCCCTAAAAATAAACAAATCACGAAGCTCTTTTAAAACGATTCAACGGATAGAAAAAGCTGTATTGACAAGTACGGAACCATACATGACTGGACTATTTCTCGCCTGTGGCTACCATCTTAGCTGTTGTACATCACGTATTATTTGGACACCGGAATTGATGATTCCGAAGGCGAAGCAACGATGGTTAGGAAACTACTGACTGAAATGTACGACTGAAATACTGTTGGGAAAAGGCGTAAAATGACACAAACAAAAAAATTATAATGTTCCGTATATATTTCTCAGTTTGTGTTTATTTATAACAAATTGCCAGATATGTGAGATTTTAAAGAAAATATTGATACACGACCTGTCCCTACTATCAAGTTTCACAGGCTGACAAGTTAAGAATTAGTTGACATAAAGTCCGAGAACATGTTCTATACGTATCAAAACATTTCCCGTTTATTCTGAAATAAAAGTAAAGATAATAGAAAGGTATTTTTGAGAATGCCCTTCCATTTGTAAGGGCAAAGGCGATGATTCGTGAAGATTCTGAGTTGACACATTTAATCATTTTGACAGAATACACTTCCCTATCAGTTTAATTGACATGTTGTGGTTTTTCTACATAATGCCGTAAAGCAACTTTTACCGTCTGCTTGAAAAATAATAAGATGATATGATTGATGTGTTTTTACTTCCAACATAACAGTAGGACCATTAATATAAATATAGTAAATCATGTGTTACAGGAACAATGTCAAAATTTAAGACACAGTTATTGTCTTTAATAAGTGATGTTGTATATTATGCTGACAATGGCGAGCACTGAAATAAAAATGAATAAATAATAGAAAAAGACCCGTTTAAAAGACAAAAGAACGCCAGGATTTTAAAAACAAAGAAATCTGTGCAACCGTTGTTTGAAACAAATACGTTGAACGTACATATATTTTGATGCCTTTCTGTAATCATAGGTTCACAATAAGAGTGAAAATGAATTAGATTTCTGTACATTGAAAAGTGTCAAGGAAAATAGCGGTTAAACTAAATGATATTCTTTTGAGGTGTAATAATTATGACACTAAACGCACTTGTGTAATTTTATTTAGTCATTTATTTAAAGTACATAACTAAAATTACAGTTTATGGTATTTGATTAAAGTCATTCCTTACTATAAGTTATTGCTGTATTGCTAAATGATCAACTTCTTTTAAAATTTGGTTCGGATTGGAAATTTTGCTTGAAAAAAGTCCTGACTATAAGATACCTTAACTTAACAATTTACGATATTGTAAGAAAATATTTTTCTACAGATTTAATGGATTCGTGTGCTGAGTTTCATTACAAGTCGATAAATCATTTGTTAAATATGGCTCAAAATGATTCGTTGAAGGAACGAATGAAGTCCTCAGAAGCATCTTCCATAAGCTAGCTGGATAACTTCCTCTCCTGAAAAAATCCATACCCTAGGATTCGAACACACAGCGATGAGGGGCAAGAGATTTTAATTCTGAAATTATTATCACTCGGCCACGGATTAGATATGTACGAAATTATGAATGTAAAAAATCCGAAAAAGTCCTCCGTGGTTTGGATGATATTTAGTATTTACTCACAACCTCATTTGTCACATGTCAAACATTTTAGAGTGGGAAGCTAAATAGTGATTACTTTGTACAAATATGTAATATCAGGATATCCGAAACATTTTTTAATTGCAATACCAGTTACTTTATCATCCAACATAATTAAATAATGAGTAATCTAAATAGTGAAGAATATGATTACATTAACGTGTACACGCAAGTGGCAATTTCGCCACTTTAAACACGCTGTTTAAAAATTCTCGAAATAATAATTCAATACATTAAAATACACTTTTCTGTAATGATAACCTCAAATATGTTTGAATAATCCTATGTGTAAGAATCGGGAAAATATAACGTATAAACCAAAAAGATAAAATAAAAAGCACATACAAATACCGACATGGTGTATATCTATTTATTTTCATTGAATACATTGTTTGATATTTTATTGTATGTGTCCATCCATATAAACAATACTAATATTCATTTTAAAGGGATATTCAGGCAAAATAATGACAAAAATATTAAAATGATCTTATGTACACAAATCACACTAAAATGACATTTATTAAAGTTAAGTTCTATATATTTTGGGTTTGAAGCGTAAATATATCTATTTATGTTGAACAAAATTTAGACGCCAATATAATCACCAAATAGTTTAAAAACAAGTCATGTGACTTGAACAAACCCTTGAAGTTACAAAAACAGATATTGTGGATATTATAAAATTATGATTGAAACAAGTCGAAGTCATTCATTTGACATGTTCGTTAACGTTTCCAGAGATCACTGAAACAACTATTGTGAAATCCTAGCGCTCTAACCTGACCCACGCGGGTCAAGTTAGGAAACCACCATTTTATTCTTTATAAGGAGAAAAGTTTTGTTCCTTTGACTGTCTAATGTATTTATTTTGAGGGCATTTATGGAATAATGAATGAAATATCAAAACTAGGAAATGAAAATTTTGCCTGTGTCTCCCTTTAAGAAATTTAAAATATTTTTATTTCTGATTTTTATATTTAAGTCTTTATCCTGCATATATTCACGATTTTATCATTTGTTATGCATGCTTTGACGAAAACCAAATTTTAAAACAAAACCCACATATTTTGACCACTATTGCACATGCAAATTTACAAATTATTTAGACTTTAAACCACAATCCGCGTATTACTGATCATCATTATATCTAAAATTATATACCACATTTATTGACATCCTAGATGATATGATTTTTTAAAAAATTATTTTGAAATATCTGTAATATAATACTATAATATCGGAATGTTTAAGCTTTATTTAGCAGGAACAACTAAATATTTCGAACACGGCTAAAACATATTTAGAAAGTTTAGTCGAAAGATATGCCAGGGATATTGAAGTTATTGAAAAGCTCTCAGAAAAAAAATGCAAAAATAATATGTCTTTATCCTCAGGACTTTGCAGCTGTCGATGAAGGTAAAGATGTATGTGTATAATACAAGAACAAACAATGAATGGCGACCACTCTAGTTAGAAATTGCACCTGTCGGTCCATCTCTGTCTTGTATAAATAGTTTTATGTTGTTTTACATTAATATCAACAAGACATGATTGTCCCTGGTTGTCGTGTTTATCAATGATATATATAAACCTTGTTACCTAACATTTAAATCGACAAATGAAGAACATAATGATGAAAGAAAAATGTTCATTTGCACTTAATAATCCTGAAATATCAATTAAAGAATAACATACATCTTAAATAAATCCTGTTAAACGCTTTACATGTTTCTTTTCATTTGTAATTAAAACGACGCAATAGATTTGAATGCACCTGTACGATTTATTCATCAATTGTCCTCTCTCGGTCTCCCCTATCTAAATTTTCTGAAGTCAAACACTTGTCAAAGTAGTGTAACGTCAGAATTTATTTACTGTGGTAACTGTTTTCTCAATATAAATTAAAAAGGAAGAAAGGAAAGAAAGGATATTGTGCCAGTCATTACAATAACCTTTTACCGAGATATATGTCATAAAACAAGCCTCGGACAGGTTAATTGCCAAGGTTAATTGCTCTTTCTTTTCTACTTATATTTATTATACATTATGACATTAAAACAACTGTTTTTCCTGTCAAAAAACATGGTTTTGTGAGTGTTTTTTTATCCTACCAAAAATGCATTTTGCATTGTGATAGAGTAAAGATAAAATTGCAAAACACGCACTTGAAAAGGAGTAGGATGGTGCGGTTTTTGATGACTCGGTGCCTTTTAACGTACTCATTAATAACATGGTGTCAAAGAAATGCTACATAATAACGTTGTTTGCAGAATTTAACGTCATTTCTGTCGTGTAGTTTCTATGTGAAATTTCGCGAGACTTACTTGTTATTTAGACTTTAATTTGAATTAATATTAAAGCGCTTTTAACAACCGTTAATTTTCTAACTTGAGATTGTGTTTTCTTCAACAATTTCATCTTGATAATATTGTTAGAACAGTTACAATTGTTTGATTATACTCTGAAGTTACAACAGAGACAAAAACATATTTTAAAATCAAATTTTATATGAAGTGTGTGGCTTGTCTGACGTGATTCGCCATAAACGTCGTTAATACAACGTCGACGTAACGATCTTAAGTATGCAGTGAACGCTGTTTGATGATAGAAACAATCATAACATTGATGCCGACAGTGACACGGCTCTCGCACTATATCACTAACTGCCAGTTATTATTGACAATACTGCTTGTTTTTATCTAAGATGTGTTTATGTTTTTGATCGTCAGATACCGAATTTTAATTATTGACGTACACTTTTTCACGCATTTATAAAGCTAACGTTAACGCGAAGGGTACGCTATTGATCTTTTGGGGATAAAAAAAATTGAACTTTCATGAAACGGTTCATTTTTTTTCTGTGCAAATATTAATCTACTTAATTTGATCTAATCTAATTATAGATTTATTAAAATATCGAATGAGACAATTAACTAAAATAATGCGTCGTTTACTTTGGATATGTATCTTTATAAGTGCTGTAACAGACATCGTGGAAGGACAGGGACGGTTATTGTCACCTCCTGGTCGCAGCTCCCTTTGGAGGTTCGGGTTTGGAACACCAGTAAATTATAATGACAATGCGCTGTCATGTGGTGGCATACAGGTAAAAATATTTTCAATTTTTATTTTTCCGATTTTTTATTTGTTAATTGCAATATTCAATCTATTTGCCGCTCAATTCTTTGTTTTTTTCTATGTTTCCTTTTCTGTTTTTCTTCTTATCCGTTCAATGTCCTGCTGAGGGTTTTTTCTCAAATATAGTCAGCTTAAAAAATGTTGGCTTTTTGTTTGGTTTCTTTTTTCAAGATGTAGTTACTGCTCGTAATCTCATTAAAGTCACTATACTTATCAAAATAGCTTGATCAATATTGCATTACTTGTAAGGTGATACTGCAATTAATAAATAGTGAAACAAACATTAGAAACGTTTTGGCTATTAAATCTATCAGTGCCTATACTGGTAAAGCTTGAAATCTCTACAGGTGTTACCATTTCTTTCTTATTGTAATGCTTAGATCGTTCCAGAAATTAAAGTAGAACATTTCATGATATTGTAGAATTTATAATTGGTTCTCTGCGTTTTTCGGGCGTACACTTCAGGGCTCTAGGGATTCTTATTAAATGAAAAGATGGAACTAAACAGTATCTTGTAAAATGAGAGTAAATATTTACTGTTACAGCATTCGAATGATTTTCAACTTCGATAAAACTGACTTGAACCAGATATGTATACATATGTATTTTACTAATATTTGAATTATTAAATTGCTTCTTGTGGAATTATTTACAAAGTGACTGTATGCCATTTGGATTGATTTTTTTTTCATTTTCTACATTTCATGTGTCAAAAACTTTTCAATTTGTTCACACAGGACGAGAAATATTCTAAACTTGTAATCAATTAAAACATATTTCCTTAAAAGTTGTGGTATTGATATTAAAGAATTGTTGTGCACAAAACATCCCTTGAATATGCATTATTTTATCAGATATGTCATTAATTTTAAATGTTAATTAAATATCAAGATGGTACATACAACACAAAAAATAAAATTACGTGAATCAATTAAGTTAAAGATCGTAAATGTTGTACGCTTGAAGTTTAAGTTAAATGGGAGAATGAGACCATTAACTGTCGTCTGCTGTTTCGAAATGTTTTGATTGAGATACAACTAGGATTAAAGACTTATATCATTCAGTTAACTGGATATGAGTCAAATCAAAAAGGCAATAAAGTTGTGTCCAAAAAAAACCAACAACAACAAAAAAAACATCATGATAGAAGAGGGTTGGAAATATAAATGACATTTTATCATGCCATGTTGATGTTATATAATACAAATGTATAAGCAAGTGCGTTGATTTAGCATTTTATAACTGCACTCATTGTTAAACGTAGTAAAAAATCTTGGGATTTCAATATTTGATATTTGTTTCCAAGACGAATATCAATTGTAACATATATTACAGTCAATGCTAAGACTCAAACAGTGTACGATTTTGTGTCCATGCTCTCAAAGAACATTCATCTTTAGAATATATAAATACTATGTTGATATATCAACATCACATAAACAACAATTATCACCTAATATCTCTGAAGGTTCATCATTACTAAGCACATTTGTGTTTTCTATAAAAAAATGCCCTGACGATGAAACAGTTCAGTGTGATAAAGCCAGAGAATTCATATACACAAAACATGTAATTGTATTCTTTATTAACATGTTATTACTCAGCAGTCATGGTTAAACGCAGTCATGGGTTCTTTTTTTGGAAAATATAACAAGAGTTTTCATTGGAACATACAATATACTATATATATATGGACCTTTAATCTGCAAGAAACGGAAAGTCTTTAGCAATTGACTCAAGTACATCCGGTTACAATCTGCCTAGGATCACCATTGCTTGTAGCTCAATTTTTGTATTTTAGTATCGTTTGTATCTACTGTTCCAAATTCAATCCATTTCATTGATTCAGCATGCTGTGATAATAAAACGGACACGAACACTGGCATAAAATGTGACAATCATAGCATCATATATAATTGTTGACAGCAAAGATGTTTTTTATGATTTCATTCCCTACTAATCTATTGTTTTTAATCATAACTTTTGAGTAATGCAAAATCAAATCAAACTTCCTTTAAAATATATACCATTTAGACGTGACATTACATTGTTAAATTATCTTTAAAAGCAATAGGAAAAGAATATTCAAAGTACAGAGTACAGACGAACTGGCTATCTGTCACTTTATGTTTCTTTTAGCACATTAAGTTTCGTTTCGATTATTGAGACCAGACAAAGTCACAAAATATAGGGCATGAAATTTTTCTCAGAGAACAATTTAAATCACAAGATTACATAAACACTATATACTAAAGTTAAGTATCTATTAAATAAGAAAAATGAATAAATAAAAACGGTACAGAAAAAAATAATTAAGAAATATGTGTAAACATACGAAAATAAGTGGCATCCATATTTATAAGTCATAGTAAATTCTGAAAGAAAAGTATCTGTATGGAAGTCCAGTATCGCAAAGATTTCTTTTGTTGTTTTGATAATCATAGACAGTATCGTAAAGATTTAAATTGTTCTCTGAGAAAAAGTTCATGCCCTATATTTTGTGACTTTGTATGTTTTATTTATATAATGTTTTCGCTCTTGTATTTGTATAAGCCTAAACAGTTTGCATTGCTTTCAGATGAAATGGAGTGTGGGAAAATATTGTAATGCTATAAATAATGGCTATACAATTCTTGATTTGTTTTATGATGTATATCTTTTATATCATATGTATACATGATAATTTTGTTAAAGACAGTATTAATATTCGTTCTTTTCTTCAGATTTTGCGTTTTATTTAATAAAATGACAAACACAAACCCTTTTGTATATAAAGTGTAATAAATAAGTAAGAGTACATTAATATCTAGACAACACATTATCAATATTCAGTTCAACAATTTATATGGACGGTACATGAGATGTAATGTAGAATATTACAAATAATGTCACTCCAATAATAATACAATGCGATAGTCAGCCTATCGTATCTCCACTATATAAGCAAACTAAAAGAAAAACCAGTTAAAAATCAACAACATAAAACCGTAGCCTACATTATTACACCACTGTTTATGAATAGTTTGTTTCAACCAAACAAAGCCCACAAATGTTTTCCTATCTTGTCATCTTTTAAAGATTCCATTTATTTCAAATCCTAAAAACTTTCTTCATACACTTGACTGTCTTTATATGACGGTCTGAACTGTACCTATTCCTATCAAACACATAATTTGAAAAGCATTTAATGATTGAAAAAGTTACATTAGTCTCAAAGAGATGTTATTTATACTTTTTTTGTTTTTTTTTCTTTCTTTATAGCATAGAGCAGAAGTGAACAAAGGAAAATGTGGTGTTTGCGGTGACCCCTGGGAGAGTAAACCACGTGACAACGAAGCAGGGGGTCAATACGCAATGGAGATAATCTCAGGGGTTTACAAATCGGGAGCATTGCTTGAAGCCATTGCTGATGTTGCAAATGCTAATGGCGGCTATTTTGAATTCCGACTTTGTGCCAATAATAACTTTTCATCCCCCGTGAAGGAAGAGTGTCTTGATAAAGGACTTTTGACATTAGAAGATGGTATAACAACAAGATATGAAAATATACACACAGGATTGAACAGGGTGATTTTGATGTTACCGGAAGGCTTAACATGTGAACAGTGTGTGCTTCAGTGGAAGTATCGAGCAGGTCAGTATAACCTAAAACTTATTGTTTTGGATAAATCATTAGCATTCCTCTTTTATTGATTAGTTTTAAAGGAAATTAAACCGTACATTTTATTCAATATGTGTTATCACCATTCTTATTAAACAACAATGTCATTGTTACCAAGGTAACTTGTTCAATAACAACAGCTCACCTCCACAAAAACAAAAATAAGCTAGCGGACCTCACATAATTGTATCATTTGTATCTATATTATCTAAACATGTTATAAAATGGAATAAATCGCATTTTTTAAAGAAAAAAGAAAAATGCAGTAATTATCAGTTAATAATTACAGTAAAGAAACTTAAGTAACTCTTGAAAAAGATTTAAAGGTATAAATCTATATTATATGATTTTTAAAATAAATTATACGCAGTAAAATCAGGCACTGATAATCTTGTGGTCGATTCTCTAAAGAGTTGTAACATAAAAACTGTCTGAATTATTTAATACAAATGAATATTGTATGTAAACAGATTTTTTTTTCAGGAAAAAAAAATGAAATAACGTTGCTGTTTTAAGTAGCGTTTTAACCGTTCAGCAATGATTCTGTGCATCAAGAATATGTATATAAAAAATCTTTCATAAACGTATTTTAGAATATTTTGGTTTTTCAAAATGCAAACTATCGTTTGGAAGCAGATATATAGCATTATACGTTTTCAAATCATATGTCTAGTCTGCAGTCAAGTAAATTGAAAATGCAAGCTCGTGTCATATATTGAATTGTTTAGGCAGAACTAGACGGGTAAATATATACGGTTACCATATTAAAGAACAATTTGTTTTAAACATTCCGCGACGCATGCCTCGTTTTCAAACATAGTTTCTATTTTATCACGATACAAGAGGTTCATAGTCTGGAAAAAATCTAAAATTAGTATCAAGGACAGTTGGTGAATTATGTACAAGGAAATTACTAAAACATTATATTAAGAATTAGAACAACGATGTAGACAAAGGATTGTAGTAATTCATCAACTACTGTAATTATACGATAATAATAATGACAGTTGATGACACCTATAGTGAATTAAATCATGTAGAATTGTAATAATTAATACATTAAGCAAGCAAAAATAGGACAAAATAACCTATAATCACTTTTTTGCACTACATAGATTCTACACAATTCTACAACTTACAAGCCCATATTGAATATAAAAGCCGACATAAAGGGAATTGATTCTTGTAAGTGATGCCTCTATATTAAAATACAAAAACAACATAAATTGTATAGCGATTAATGTTGTCATCATAGTTGAAGCAATGTTATACCAGCCAAATGATGATGATGATGATGATGATAATGATGATACGGTGGTGATGATGATGATGATGATGATGATGATATGGTGGTGGTGATGATGATATGGTGATGACTGTTGTCGTCGTATTACTTTTGTTTATGTTTCGGTATTACAGAATAAAATACTTACACCATTTTTGAAATCATCACTCGCCCCAACCCAGTTATTCTATTGGTGTCACTTAAAGCTTAGTGAAAAAATATTAATAGTCTACAATTTGTCAATTATTAGCACGTGTGTATTTTTAACGACTGGCATTTATTTCTATAATTGATTGAGGGTATGAACGATATCTTGGTGTTATTGTATATATTTCTATTTGTATTTGAATATCTCAAATGACTGGTTTTCGTCTTCGGTTGTCACAATTACAAGAAAAATAAGACCCATTAGATCTGCAGAAATAATAGAAAATATATTAAGCATTGGAGAAAAATAATTCTGAACAAGTAAATGTTAATATTTCGACACATAGTGTAAAATGAAACAAAATGACTTCATTACGGACACATAAACAGTTAATTGAGAAAGTCACCTTTTCAAACTGAGATTATTAATCCTATTTCAACAAGGAAAGAATGTTAAGAGTTGTCATGTTATTTCCAGTATATAAAATAATCGCATGCAAACAAAATTTATGTTTAAATTACAAAAGGTTTATTTTGTCGGAAATAACAATAAGGAATATAGTTGAGGGACATTTTATGGTAGACACGTGTAAAATAGTATAAATGCAGGTACTGTGTTTGATTTTTTATCGCAGGCACAGGAAACATAAAATATACGCTCTACAAACACTATTGACTATTCTTTTATTTTGACTTTGCTAAATTTTCAAAAATTATGATTTATAATGAATCTAACGCTAATAATATGAAATCATGTTGTTGAAAATATTCAAGATTACAAATAGTCAAACTTAGAAAAATGGGAGAACATCAAATTTTCTTGTTGTTGAATAATAAGATAATACAATATCAATTTCATATTATATATTTATTGGATAGACTCAAGTCAGCAAATATATACATTTGTAGTTATAAAATATAAAATCGGACCTAAATTTATCGTAACAGGTCCTCTCCGGAATGTACATTTTATTCGTTTCATTTCATCAAACAATTTAAAAGTATATATAATCAGAGAAAATAAACTATCAAAATATGATAAAAACTAATAACGGGCATAAAATCAGTAGTCGCTTTTTTCCCAAGGTCATATGAATGTATAAAGGTAGACCTGTCATTATTTATCTAAATGTCATATGCTAATTAATTTTATTTTAAGCAAGATGTTGTAGCAAAAGCTGATAATTGTCAGAAATAACAATTTGGAATATGATGAAGTTGTTATGATAATTTGAGAAAATGCCGTCAACTTTCACATAATCGGAAACACTATTTTTGGAAGATAGTTGTGCTTGTTGATATCTACGAAAGTTCATTACACTAATTTGTGCTTCTATTTTGACCAAAATGTATGATTTAAGTGGAAATAAAACGATATAAATACATGTATACTGATAAAAGTCTTGAAACATTTGTACTGATTGAGATTTTGCCTTATTTATGGTTTTAGCCTATATATTTGTATCATATATTAGGTAAATATAAGTGTTTAAAGATCATACTAAATTATCCTTAATACTATTAATCATTCAAATAGAGGCGTGTATCAGTAAATCAACCATGAACTCAATATACAAATGTACTTATGTTTGGAGTGCTCTTATAAATGATACACTCAATATTGTATTTAAAGCCTGTTTTATTTGTCATTCATCTGAAACAAGGTTGTATTAGCAGTACTATCTATTTTTTACTTCAGCTGATCAATATGGATGTGACAACACACACCCAGGAGTTGAAAAGAAATGTGGCTTCGGAATAGGTGACCTTCAAACAGAATATTTTGCGTGTGCTGACATTGCCATATATAATCATACAGGTGAAAACATCAACTTTCCAGCACCTGACCAATATAGTTATGATGTTCAGGACCTATCAGCACTGTCTCAGCAAAACTCATCACCTGCCCATACAATATCGAAACGTTCAGTTCACATTCCTTATGAAAGAAGTGCTGGAATTCGATACGTTCCTGCTTTCCCAAGTGGAATGCAGCTCCAGTTTGAACAAAACTCTTTACATAAACAACCTCCACAATCTCAAGTTCAGTGGAGTTGGTCTTTAAAAGGTCCTGGGGCAGCGGTTGGGTCCGGACGAGCACGTAGACGCACACATAACCAACAATTACCAACAAATATAAATGTTGCTAACCGGCATTTAAATGGAATAATTCCAACAGCACAGAACGGTGCCGGGCGAGTAAGATCCAGTTTTAACCAACGACAAAACGGCCCTAGCCTTTTTAACGGGGCATCATTGAATAATATAGAGATACCTGAGCCAGCTGCTATTGAGACAAGTCAAACACATGTTCGAGCTATTTTAAGGACACCGATGTCCATGCAAGGGATCCCAGTTTCTTCAGTTCCTAAACCATCATTCTCTGTTAAAACAATTACAAACACACAACAAACTTCTAGAGTTTTGTCTCTTCCAAAACCACAATACAATAGGAAAAGCCCGTTTCCAACACAAAGAAACTTTTTAGATCCATTTACCCAAAAGAAGGTTTCAACACAGACCCAAATGGTATTGTCAAGGTCAAACTACAAACCAACAAAACAGTGCCAACATTGCCCCTTTGATCAGTGTTTGGATGACAAACTCAGGATCGATAATTTATTTCCCGGACTTTTTGATAGTCCGACGCAGTTCTTCGAATGTAAACGTTTTGAGCGTGTTTTCACTCTCGGTAACTATGACGTAGTACAGGAGGGGTTACCAAGCTGTCAACATCCGAGGTTTAAACGTCAACTTAAGACATTTGAGGATGACGAAATAGGCTGCTGTGGAACGTAAGATATTTGTTTTTCAATACATTTATTCTTTTAACAAAATATTGGGGTCCCAATAAGTAATTGTTATGTGTTTTTTTAACCACAGCGACTGACCTGTATACGGAAGGGCGTAGGTTAGATTCTTGTTACGAAAATCGCATGATTGCTTAGTGCTCAGCGTGAAGCAGTTAATCTAGCATTGGTAGGTCCAGTGTAAGTATTATGAAGAATGACAGCACATCACGTTATTATGTCTCTTGTATGATATTTCAGTGAAGGTAAGCAATGGCCAATTGATTTTCTTACCTTACAGATAACGACACACTTTTAACCCGCTCTCTGGCACGCACGCACACTCTCACATATTTACTTACTCGCACACACGCACATATTCACTCTCGCGCTCATTTACAAAGTCATCCACTCACTAACTTAATAATGATTCTAGGCGTTTCTTACAAGTTATTTTGCCTTATCTTTTTCTTCTGTTTCAAGACAATATTTTATTGTTAGTTAAACATCTGGCAGACATGTTCAGTCACATATTGACACCGGTTTTAATTTATTTCAATTCCGTGTTTATTTTAAGCCTTGTCATTAATGATATCAATCAAATTGCTTTTGATATTGTTATTACAGTTCAAATGATCGTAATTACAGCTCAAATGATGTATTGCATAAATAAATCAATTAAATGTACTTGAAGATATTGAAGCATTTGTTTCGTAATTAGTGCAAGTCACGGAAACATGTCCCTCTTCCCCGAAAGTAATTTAAACTTAATGCTGTCAATTAAACATCATTAGTGACAAGATGTATGTAAAACCTGGCAATATATCCACTAATATAAAAACTCAAATAAACAAATGCTAGTAACAATGACCGTTATAAGTTTGAAAAACCACAAAATTTAAGTACCACTTGACAATGTTTGTGTTACTGGTCTCCTTTATGATGTTTTTGCTCGTAAATGTCATTACCGACTAATTGCTCTGTATTTATTTGTCTTTGTTTTGGCATATGAAACAATATAACAATATAAATACTAACTTGGTTTTTGCATTGAAGGAAACAATAAGAGTGCAAATGTCACTGCATTTGTTAAAATGTTAGATACGAAATATGTCACATCAGAAAGAATGTTTTTTGTTTGTTGATAGAATTTCTTTAAATTTACTACGACTGAGTTATATAATTGTAGTAATTGAGATAAGTATATACCTCTTACCGTGTGTTGACTAAATACACTTATTTGGAAACATCATTGGTAGATTTTACGTCTATTAACAAACCTGTTATGACCATTAAAATTTTATTTGCACAGTGCACTATCTGCAATGCAACACACTGTGGGTGACTTGTTTCTGAGAGGTGTTTCCCTATGTAGGTTACATTTATTGTGAAGTCATAGTAAAGGAAGATGCCAACAAACAACAACAACAAAATAAACTTTATTAAGCTCAAGCCATTAGAACAAACATGTAAGCATACAGTGAATAATACCAACACAAATACCATGTGAAGTCACGTCACAGATTGTTTGTTTAACGGGGTTGACAATAGTGATATAGGACTGTAATCTGTCAAAAGAGTGTTGCACTTCAGATGTCCGCTCCGTTAATGCTTATTCTAGGAATGCAAATATAGCATTTGTTTTGTTTTGCATTTTTATCTTGTCTATATGTTTATAACGTTTGAACGTGTCGTATAATTTCTGATTTCTTTAATTACATTTTTGTCTTTGTACTTATCATGGTAAGATAAATCTTTCATTTTTGATTCCTAAATCTTTAACAAGTCAAGGTGATTGACTCGTAAAATGTACTCCATAGTCGTCATATCGCCAATGATACATGTTCTTTTTTCTGGAATAAAATCAAATATTGTTTGCACATTATAAGATGTTACTCCTACGCATTTTAACATATACAATTAAAATTTTGGCATAGAAATTTGAATATCTTTATTGAATAGGTAATCATAAAGTTATGTTAAGGGAAGACATTTGAAAATTATGCAAATTTCATAACAATTTATTATAACATTTCCTGCAAACACATTTTAAAGTGTTCGTTTCGTGTAAAATATCTACTAAAATATCTACCGTGTTTTAAAATTGATCATGGTATCATTTATTTTCAAAAACATTGATTTATTTTGAACAATATACCAGAGAACGACAACCTATGAAAAACTGCTTTACTATCTACTGTAACAAATAGAAGGAAATGCAATAGTAGTAAATCCACCTGTACCGGCGATATTTCGTTATTGTTGATGTTTTTTTTGCAATTGCCTTTTTTTGGCTTTTTGAAATCATTTTGAAGTTTAAGCAAGTTTTGGTTTACATTTAATTGATATTTTTATTTAATTGATGATCCAAACCAATACAAAAAAATCCACAGCCCATTCTGTTGTTTGATATGTCCCGTTTTTCCTAATGTTTAATATATGTGCAGTGTGCATTATATGTTATGTTGAGTACATTTTAAAGTAGTTATGTATTCTTAAAGTGTGTGTGTGTGTTTTTGTTGTTGTTGTTGTTGTTTTGGGTTTTTTTGTTTTTTTTTTTTTTTTTTTTTTTTTGGGGGGGGGGGGGGTAAATAAAGTGTTGTTTAACGAATATCTATTAAAGTTTCAACCATTTTATATGATAACTATTTTACATTTACATCTTTGTTGCTACATACGTACACATTTGTTTCATTATAGACGACCTCAAGTAATATTACCATTGACTGTTGAAGCTGAAAATGACACATTTAGTGTTGTACAATTGGGAGATGTGAAGAAACAATTTATTGTTCAAGGAATATGCGGGTAAGTAAACACTTGTCCTCACGTCCTTTTAAGAATTGATTGTCATTCATATTAAAACCAGGAAATAAAACAAAACAATAAATAGTAACTAACAGAACATTTGGTTGATATTTATTGGTCCGGGTATTGCTAAACCTGCATGTAAACATGTTGGCTTCTAAACAACAAAAACAATTATTTTAACAAATGGAAAGTCAAATAATGCAAAACTGAAACAAAACTAACATGGTGTTAAAATACAAACTTGACATTTTGATAGTAACATTACATAATACTTAAGCGATAATTTTAGAACTGATGTTTTCTTTTTGTTTCATTTAATAATTTGCAAATGTCAAGGTTTTATAAATCATAGTGGTCTATTTTAATTCATATACATAGTTTATAAAAGTCATATATTTGATATTATGTTATATTGATTAGTTCACAACCAAGGTAAGATAAGCTATGGAGCTACTGCTTACAACATAATGCAGTTACAATATCTAATTTTGTTATAATCTTTCTTTTTTATTGGAAGCATTTTGCTGTATTGTTGCATCTAATATGTCGAAATCTGTTTTGTAACTTTGAACTAATTCTCAAAGTTGTATACAATAATGCCTTATAAAATTGTTTATGTGAAGATCTCATTGACACACCGTCATATATAGATTATCTACATAAAACAAAACCAGAACATATTTCATTTTCAATTAAACCTTACATATTTTTTAAAATAGTAATTTGAATATGTTTGTAGAAATAAATGTAATCATAGTCGATTCATATACTTAGTTCAAAGTTAAGAGCTTACAGTCTTCTTTCTGAAGTGTATTCATTCTTTCTAGAATCTTTGCATTTTATAATATTGTTCTCGTTTATGCTATATTATTATTGCAGCCGATATTAACATCTTGCTTTTAATTAATGCTATATTGTGTAATAATGTTTTAATATACATCTGTATTGTATAAATTTGAGGCGTTAATGTAAGAAAAGAAATGAAACAAATGCTGTGTATGCAGCCATCAGAGGTAGGCCTGTTTCGTAAAAAGAAAACAGGGAAGTGAATGGATGGTTTTCATGATGAAGTTACCACTGTATAAATGATTTATTATCCTCGTTGAGATAAAATCATAAGTAAAAAACAAGTTCATTGAAAATATTATTAAAACTATAACACGTTTGTACAGTGTGTTGCAAGCCGCCTTTTTCCTTTCAATTCTTATTTGTAAATGAGAATATTTTCTTAGATAACTTGTTCTAAATTATAATACATATCATTTCAACCTATCCATATGTTCCGTAGTCGCAAACCTGCTACCTTATATTTCTACAAAAACATAAAGTAATATATTGATATTCTAATGACTGTATTATAAGAATATATCACTGTAAATAAATATTACTATTTATTGTTTATTATTGCTGCTTGGTTTTCTAACATTGTACTCACACATTTTTGTCTCTGTTCAGGAAACAGAAATTTCAGTGTTATTTTCAAGTTGTTATCTTTCTAAAATATAACACATGTTATTTTTGTATTTTATAGTTCACATCAGCTTTTAATGTCATTGTATCAAGTCCAAAAGGCATATTATTCCTCTGAAATGAATAAAATATTTCATTATGTAGGTAGGGGAATTATGTATTTTATAATGTTGTAATAACTAATTAAGAACATGTAAGATGCATATCACCTTAATAAAATAGTGCTGTGTGAAATATTTTGTCAGAAAAATGTACTTTGACTTCAGAACAAAATATATGAACTAATTACCAAAATGCAAAAGAAGCAATAACCGGCTAATCTGTGTGGCCAATGAGTAACTGTTTGGAAAATATAACAGGACACAAAAATTAAAGAGCTTTTATAAAATAAAAATAATAGCATTTTCGAACCCAGTGGACTTGAATTTGATCGGAAGTAAATCATCTTATTAACAGAATACCAAAAAGCATGGTCTGTTTTTTGGACAAGTTGGACCTACTTGTCATTGTCAGTTAATGTTTTTGTCTACGGTTGAAAAAGGATAAAACATCTGATCGCTTTCATTAAAAAACATCAACATTGGTCTAGAAAAATGAATATATTTCACAATTAACATAACTTAATTTAATGACATCGTTTTAAAGCCTCAATTCAAATTACATAATGACATCTATTTCATATAATGACAGCAGCGTGCAATGCTAGTCGCTAATTGTCATTTTTATGAAGCAAATAATTAGAACTTATTCTAAATATAGAAATTCTTGGTATAATGATACTCCTTAGTGTTAATTTGACAATGGTTATTGTTTGCATAAAATATTGTTCAAACTTATTTGTACTGATACAAAATAAGAATAAAGAGACATTTATGAAACCATCATATTATTTGAAACTATCAAAATTAAAATTTTTATTGAAAAGAATGTCATTAGTGAAGCATTTCATAGCTTACTGGTGGTTATTTATTACATTTTTTCCTGATTGGTATGTTGACAGCAACAACAGTTAGATATGTATACACCCATTTTTGTGTGTAAATTGTTTCGTTATATCAGCTTTATTATATTTCTATAATGACATAAAATTTTACTGCTTGGCAGTGATTTTAGATATTTTTATCACGTATTTTATGACAATGACACTGTATAACTTGAATAATGTATTTATGGTAAAGAAAGCTTCACTAGTGCCTTTGAAATCAATTAAACACGTTAATCAAGTATTTGATTCACTAATTGTCTTAATTTTGATGAGTTAAAATCTTCTTCCTCCTCTTAAATAAAATATAATTTTTAATTCTCCAGGAAAAGCAATACGACATCGTGTACAGTGTGTGCGGCGGAGAACAATTTCCAGTGGGTTTTAGTGTATGATCCTCGAGTCAACACCAATCCTCCAGTGTCGTTTGTGCCAGTCAAATTCCCTCACTACTGTAGATGTTACAACTACATGACACTTAAAGGATAGCATTTTTGTAGCTCGTCAACCGAGCTCAGATTTTATCCAAATAATGTACCATTCTCTTTCAAATTTGTACAAGTTTGGCGAATATCAATGAAACCGATCAAGAGCCTTTAAACAATCTCAGTAGTCTATATTGTTAAGTATATTAAACTATTGTAAGATACCGGTATATTGAAAACAGTTTTTAATAAAACATTAATTACTTTGTCAAGTAAAGGTTACTGTAACATGTAAAAAAGTAACATATGACAGCTTGATCCAAAAAGACTATTTGTTAATCCTTTATTGATATTTTATTTATTCTCACGACTTAAAGAAATTCTGGAAAAAACAATGGTTTTTTTTCTTTCTTTTTTTTACATGACGTGTCCTTTAGTAGTCAATTATTATTGTTTTCGCTGTTTAAATGAGTTATTTATTTTCTTTAAAAAAGGCTTTGTACATTCATGTAATTTATTTATTAACTTTACTATATCACAACAAACCAATAGACGCTAGTAAAGATAATTCTAAATGAGAGGGTTTCGGTGTGTTCGAAAAAGAAAATTTTATCATTTGATAGTTAAATATTACGCTAAACTGCAAAATTCTTTAAAGAGAGCAGTCGTTCATGTTTATAGTAAATAGAGAAAGGTCTTTTTCCTTTGTACATATATCAATCGTAGATGAAATGTTAAAGTACATGTACTTATTATAGTTTGTTAGGGGTGTAAACTTGAATAAATTATATTTATCATGATTTTAGACTTGCTTTTAACTTATGTAAGGATACATAAACTAACAAATAATGTAAAGGATTACATAAAACTACAAATAACTGTAAGGATACATAAACTTACAAATAATGTAAGGATACATAAACTAAACAAATAATGTAAGGATACATAACTACAAATAATGTAAGGATACATGAACTACAAATAATGTAAGGATACATAAACTACAAATAATGTAAGGATACATAAACTACAAATAATGTAAGGATACATAAACTACAAATAATGTAAGGATACATGAACTACAAATAATGTAAGGATACATGAACTACAAATAATGTAAGGATACATGAACTACAAATAATGTAAGGATACATAAACTACAAATAATGTAAGGATACATAAACTACAAATAATGTAAGGATACATAAACTACAAATAATGTAAGGATACATGAACTACAAATAATGTAAGGATACATGAACTACAAATAATGTAAGGATACATGAACTACAAATAATGTAAGGATACATGAACTACAAATAATGTAAGGATACATAAACTACAAATAATGTAAGGATACATAAACTACAAATAATGTAAGGATACATAAACTACAAATAATGTAAGGATACATAAACTACAAATAAACTAAATACATCATAATGCCTGATAATGACGTTACCACATCCGTTATAACGGGTCCCTGAAGAAATGGGAAAACTCTCTTTCAATGTATTTTAAGACTATTATATAGTTTGTTTGGTATTTCACTATTAATAAAAAAACCATATCAGTACTTAAAACATTTTTTCTGTATTAATAATTCATTTGTAATATAAGTACGGTAAAAACCAGAGAAATGATAAACAGAGAAATGGTTGTCAATTATCAAAATGTTCAGTATTGCTTGCTTTTAACGATTATGCAAACAACAACAACAATATTTTCTCTTGTAAGTGCGTGCTGAGAATACGCAATTCTCAGGCATTAGTACGGAAGCCCATAAGTGCCATTTTGTCTTAGGAGTTTTGTCTTATGACTGATGACTTATGTATAATGACTTTTGTCTTATGCTTTATGACTTATGTCAGAAGGCGGCAAATTATATTTAAACTAGTTTCGTTTCGTGCAACCATTGCGGCGTACAGAATAGGTACAAAAAATGAGAAGAGAAGACTTCATTGGTAAGTGTTGAATTGTGAACAGTTTTACATAATCATATTGTTTATGAAATGACAACTTCTGTAAAGGCTTTCCTGCAGAATTAATGGAAAAAGAATGTTTTAACGAGACTCCCAATTTTGTGAAATACTTTACTTTGTAAATGTTACTCCTCCTCGCATCTGTTTCATTATTTTCCAAAACTGTATGACATAGTTGTATGCATAACAACTTGGAACTTTGATTCCATTGATGGCTTTATAGAGTTATGCCGCTTTTAACTTCTTTTCAAAGCATTAAGTAATTTTTAATATTCAAGACCTGTATTTGGTGCTCTTGGTTTTTAAACAGACATCTTGTTACTTATATCCTGCCCGCATAGCTCGTGGAAAAGATATTAGTACTGGTACAGTATCCAGGGACACTAGTTAAATGACTGAAATACTGTGAAATTGCCTTAAAGTGACATTATGCCCATACATGGGTAGAAATAGAGTGAACAGGTGAAAGTCAAATTAAGTTAACATTTTCTCATAATTCCTTTCAATTTTATAATTTTCTTCACATGGACGATAAACAACTTACTATAGGTCCTGTGAAATGTGTGTAATTATCCATCGGAATGTATCTGTAACTTTCAATTTATAAAAAAGAGTGGAGCAATAATTTTATATATCTAGGTAGACTTATTTTTTACCCTAAACATTTTCAAATATCATGTCAATCACCATTAACGACCAGTTAATTGAAATATATAGTAAATTAAAGTCAATTTGACAATGAAAAAATGAACATAATGTCACTTTAAACTACAACGAAACAAAACAAAAATCCTAAATTTTTAGCTGAAATATTTCTAATCTAGTCATAATTAAATACTTTGGTTTAGTTACAATTTAATTAAGATACAACTTTACATGCGTAGCACTTAAAGTTTTCCTTAGCAACATAATTGCTATAGATTCTACCATTATACCAACAAAGTAGCTGTTATTGTTCTATGCGAACCAAACTCCGTCTACGTTCAAGCTTTCATCTTCTGGCAACTATGGCTTAATTTCAATAAAAAACGAAACTATTAGTCTATTACACATTAGTTGAAAGAATTTCAAAAGATACATCGTACAGCAGCATTTTAATACATTACATACAAATATTGTTTTTGTCTGACATCTTATGAATTATGAACTATAGTTTAATAGCTTATGTACTTTGTTTTTCAGATATCTTTAATGAATATGTCCGCGTTTTATAGCACGTGGCTTTGTCTGGAATACAATAGGTTGGAAACAATTGGACCTGATTGAATTATTACTTGGAAAGTCCACAGAATGAAAAGACGCAATAATAAAGGGTTCAAGTAATGTATAGCACGTAGACGTCACAATAAACTGAAACCAAATGACTTTTGCATATACACGGTGCTATTAGGATTATAAGACTTGAAGTGTCACAAAGTAACAACAACATTGCAGTCATCGCCATGTAGTGGCGTTCGTGCCGAGTGGTTAAGGTCGTTGACTTCAATCTACTTGCCCCTCACCGCTGTCGGTTCGAACGCCGACAGGGACTTTGGATTCTTTCATGTGAGGAAGCTATCCAGCTAGTTTACGGGACGTCAGTGGTTCTATTCAGGTGCCCGTTCGTGCCTGAAAAAATGCACGGAGGGGCACCCGGGGTCTTCCTTCACTAGTAAAGTTGGAACATCGCCAAATGACCTACACTGTGTCGGTGTGACGTAAAACCCAAATCAAACATCATCGCCATGTATTATCTTGAAGCACTGGAGACGTTTAACATTGCTACACAAAATATCAACTCTGTCGACCTTTACTTCAACTGTTCTTCCGGTACAATGATACAAATAATATGTCGAATCCTATAGAAGTTTTATTTCTGAAAATTAAACAACAACAAAAAAAAAAAACAACGTTTCAATGAATTGAGACCTGGAGAGGAACCACAAGACGTAAATGAATTCAGATGTGAATTTTCTTTTTATCAGAGATTAAAAAGACAGTCACGAGTGTGGTAATGTGAATGATTGAAATTATGTTTCATACACTTGATTCAGGCCGAGACTAACAGAATAGCGGTGAATTGAGGCCTACTTACCATAAATAAACAAGAGTCCTCCTGAGATACCAAATGGTAAACCCGATTTAATTTACTTTCTACCGGAATAATTTGGTGGACACAATTATGAAAAGATTGTAGATCAGCATGATAATGATGCTTGTTTTGCGAAATGGACGGCATACGCAGGAGAGTTAACAATATTACTAAAGACCAACCTTCGCATTCCAATAGATGTACAAGGGGCGATAGAACTATACAGGGAACTACTGGAAGTTATTGACGAAGTTGCGTATGTGTACTATCGCTTTATTCTTGTTAAACTGTAAAGAGGGTATTACGAGTGTATTTTCATATTGAGTCTTTTTTTTCAAGAATTATGTAAAAATAAAAATATGCATCTGTGTGAGCAATTAATTATATCTTTTATAAAATTAAGACATGCAATAATTTTCAATATTAAAAGAAACAAAATTGATGTTATTATCTTATCTTTTAATTGCAATTAAAACAATTTATCCGTTATGGAAATGGTAAATGCAGCCATTGTTCAAAATCTTTAACAACATTGACGTCACAGCTGTATTACAAAAAATGTGTATACAATATGGCCGGTAGGTCTAAACTACGAAATCTAGGCTGTTTTCGCGATAATAATAAAACAAAAATTCAACTTATTTTGTTAAAACACACATATAATTTTAAGTACGTTTGAAGATTAGATATATCTTTATTTGGCATTACAAATTTATTTTAAAATGTCACTTTTATGTTTTGACAGATTCACTTCCATAGCATCTGAAAAAAAATCTAGTTGCATTACTTATAATTATTTGAACACTTTTTTTCTTTTTTATTTTGATCTCGTTTATTCTTGCTCTTCCGCCCGTGCTGTCACTTGTCAAAATTTCCTGCGAATTTCATAGTCGTCCAAACTGTAATTTTTATGTGAAATGCCTCCCAGGACCAAGCTGTTTCTGCAAAAAAAATGTATAAAGGATAATTTAATGAATATACACCAATGCATTTATCTATATTTATCTTGAAATTTGATGTTTAAATTGTCGGGTGTTTTTAATTTACACAAGGACGTACCCGTTATTTTAATGATGAGGAAAAAAAGACGTGTCACTCACATCAAAATTTGCTATACATTAGTGTTATATTATTATTTGCTGATAAGAGGTTTATTTGCAAACTTTACCCGGATATTCCTACAAAATAGTTCCACTTGGACAAATTAACAGAGCCAACATTAATTAATATATATATTAGCATTTACCTTATTATGTATTACAAGTCTTTTTTTCGTGACATATTTTTGTATTGTAAATTACGACTTATGTATAATGACTTTTTATTATGTCTTATTGTATAATGACTTTTGTATTTTGTCTTATGTATAATGACTTTTGTATTATGTCTTATGTATAATGAGCTTTTGTATTTTGTCTTATGTATAATGACTTTTGTATTATGTCTTATGTATAATGACTTTTGTATTTTGTCTTATGTATAATGACTTTTGTAGTATGTCTTATGTATAATGACTTTCGTATTGTGTTTTATGTGATATAAATTTAACAAATATATATTTTGAATTTAAGAAATATTGTTCTTGTTTCCTAGGTATCAGTATTTCATATATAGAGGATATTGAATGAGTGTAAGTATTGCACGAGTTATAATATTATTTTATTCAACGAGTGCAATAAATTCAGTAATGAACTTACACGAATTCAATATTCTATTTATCACATACCCAAAAAAAGACCATTTAAAG